CGTATGATCCTCAACCACATTACTTATATACAATCAAAATAAGGAGCAAGATAGTCATGACCAACCTAACAATATCTGGTTGAAACCACTATTCAGATGCAAACGTGAATACATATACAATAGATCAAAGCTTGGAAGCAGTCCAGCTCGCTGCATTATATAAGTTACTCAGATTCAGTAAACAGCAAAATGTGGAAACACATAAAAGTGTAGCCCCTGTGGTGTTTACAAAACCAAGTTAAAGCAGATTTTCATGAGAATTCCAAATGACAATGCCATCACCTCTAGAATAGGGGATGGGGCCGTTAATGATGAATGAAGCAATGGTAGGTCATCTGCATGTAAACAAGTCACTTCACCAACAGGAAATTTGGATCCACACCGGCCAGCTCTGCCTGGAAAATCAATAAGTTCATTAAAATAAAAAATTTGAAACATATGGAAAATACTATGCTGTATGGATCATCAACTTTAATGTGGGTGACCAGAACAAAGAACCTTAATGTCAGTTTTCAGCAAAGGGGCTAACACTATTAACACTATATATCAGCACCATGCAACTTGTATGATTGATAAAACGGAAAAAGAAAAAGAATTAAACAGAATGCTACCAATCCAAACGCCAACTATGTTGAAATTTTAGTTAGATTTCCAAGTTAACTGCAATCTGCTTTATCTCTGGTACTGTAAGCTCCCTCATTTCAACACCATCAAACTTTTTCATAGTGCAGAATATGATCCTTGAAATATTCAGATTAAGAACCATCCCAATTGCATCACTGACCACAAGCACATCAAACTCACTAGTTTCATCATTAAACATCATTGCCTGCACTCTTAAACAGCATATTAAAAATAAATAAAAAAGAATAACAAGGAAATATAAGTGATTAAGAAAGAAGATTCATCATTGCATGACAATAAAAATAGCATATCAAGATTGAGACTTGTACTGAAGAATAAAAATAAGTAGAAGAAGAATGGCACCTGTCTTGTACGAGTCTCTGGTGGCAATGAACCAAAAACCACAGAGCAAAGATGTTTCCCCCCATCCTGAATTTGCTTCTGGAAAAGTAGAAAAGATCAGAAATTACTTTCAGAAGAGGAGAAAAGAAGGGGCATGTGATTGGAGAGAATCAAAGTTTGAAACATTTATATGCATACATCAATACCAAAGTTAAAAGGAAAATTCTTTCTTCAAAAATAAAAATTGCAGGATCTAAAACAGTAAAACATATGAGAAGTAAAGCTTTATTTGATATGTTAAAACTATGCAGTTTTTCATGTTGAAAAAAAAATTTCCAAATTATGAAAATACAATAAATGGGAGGATATTAAGGCAAGGAGGGCTGTAGTTAACAACTAACCAATTGAAACCACTCAATAGCAATCAAGCAGACAGACACACAGAGAAAGAAAGAAAGGGAAAGGGAGGTAGAGTATATAGATAAAAAGGAGAAAACGATAAAATTTAAGATAAGAAGTTCAACAAAATTGGAAGTTACACCTAACCTTAAATTTATAAATCTGTTGACGTGAAAATGTTACAATGCAATCTCCTGTTTTTATATTAGAAAAAGATCCAAGGGGAACTTATAGAGGAACAAGTGATGAAAGTTTTCCATAAATTTGGACCTGGGACATTAACCATACAAAGATTACAAATTTACAATAGAAACAAACAGAAAAAGAAACATAACAAGCATGCCATTTTGTTTTAACATAAATGTTACCTTTAACAAGATAAAAAATGTAAAAATTATAAAATTGATCAAACATACATTCCAGAAAATTACAGTACCTCTACATTATCATTGACCACTTTCAGCACTTCCTGAATAAGAGGAACAGCAGCTGCATCGCCACAAAGATGAAGTTCGTCAGCAGCAATTCCCAATAGAGCACGTGTGAATGAAAAACCCCTTGTTTTACGGCCCAACATCTATGAAAAACAAGAAAAGATAAAAAGAATGAGAAATAAGGAAGATCAATCTAAACATAGCCATTCCCTTTTCCAGACAGCAACATACTTACAATTTCTTAAATCACTCCAACATATCAACTTCAAATTTAATTAATGCAACTGTTTTGTGTAAGGATACTGAAAATATGGCATGAGAAAATAGTGGATTAGAGCAAAACTTGCCTGTATTTCATCAATAACAGCACAATGGTAATGGGAGGTTACATCAGCCATCTCCACTGTGACAGCTTTGTGCCTTCCACCATCAACTTCGTCTCTCTCTTGTACTGTAATTAGATCACAAGGAACTTTTGCCTTGTTCATTCGTTTTGCCACTTCCCATGCCAACAATCTTAAAGGACCACAATATATACCTGCAGAGAGCCAGAGCCCATAAATTGTAAATCTGTTTATCATAAACTACAAACTCCTACTGCATCCTGGCCAAGGGACAAAGTGAGATCCAGGTAAAATAGCATTTAAAATATACCTGAAGCACTTGACTCAAGCCGCTTCAAAGCATGGTATGTTTTACCACCATTGGTGGGGTCCACATGCAGGAAAACCTTGCGTTTCTTCCTTCAGGCAGTAGGATACCACACATGGGGACAGCTGAAGTAAACACGCACTAGATTAAAACAAAATGCATAGAAGAATGTGTAAGTGGAGCATCTCAATTTTAGAGAACAGGAAACAGCTTTTTACTAAGCAGACCAAGTGATAAGCATTTGAAAAATGAAAGCTTCTTAAAAATAAAATAAAAGTTTCCTAAGAAACTTAAAATTCAGCCAATTTCAAAGATTGTGTATTCTTTCAAAAAGTTTAGTATCTCAAAAATTCAAAATCCACAACAGCTACTTTTTTGAAATTCCAATTCATGTGCCCAATGTCCATCCATGCAGCATTTAAAGAAATGATTCAGATGTCAGAAATAAATTGATACTGAGACTGTCATGCAAGAAAAAAATAGAAGAGTAATAATATCCTTGTGTTAAGACATATTTTACTCACAAAGAATTGCATATCCGAACCAAAAGCAATTAATCAGCAGTTTTAGTCACAAATTACTTACGTGAGGTCAGTGAAATCAAAGTTTGAGGTACTTTGGCCACTGGTGTATTTCCTTATCTTTATACCTACACTAAGAAAAGCTTGACACTTCATTTCCAGTCGTAACCTAATCAACTCCATATTACCTGCCAGATGGTGAACTTCAAAAAAAAGCAAATATAACAAAAGGAACAAAGACCCAATACCAATAATAATACCCAATTGACTTAATTAACTCTAGTAGCCGCATTAGTATTGCAAAAGAACTACAAGCTCCCAAGAATCCAACTTTAAGTATAAATTACGAGATGGGTATTACAGCTCTGTCTTGCTTTCCAAGTTTCTGCTTCTCCTACTAAATACATTGCAAATTTGATAGGCAAACAAATTACACCTATTTTCTCAAAATGACAAAAGGAAGGACTTTCAAAATTGGAATTCCTAGAGAATTGGAACAGATAGTTACAAGAAAATAAACCCAAAAAAAAAAAAAA